TCCATACATTCTGGGTTACTGAGTCAGTGATTTCTGTAATAATTTGACAGCCGGCCCTGATCCTGGTATTAGTAACAGAGAATTTGTAATATACGGCCAAGTCCGGGGTCCAAGGGGTCAAAAATAACACCCAAAGACAACGGAAAAAGACAAAACGTCTCTTAATTATGACAGACAGACACATGGAATGGGAGAAAGACTGAATAGACAGACAGATGCACAGCTAGAGAGACAGACTCGCAGACAGAAAGATGAATAGACAGAATGAGAGACAGAGTAACAGACAAAAGGATGGATAGACAGAACATGAGACAGACTTTCAGATTGAAACATGGATAGACAGAATAACAGACAGACTGATAGATTGAAACATGGATAGACAGAACGTGAGACCGACTGATAGATTGAAACATGGATAGACAGAATAACAGACAGACTGATAGATTGAAACATGGATAGACAGAACATGAGACAGACTGATAGATGGAAACATGGATAGACAGAATAACAGACAGACTGATAGATTGAAACATGGATAGAAAGAATGTGAGACAGACTGATAGATTGAAACATGGATAGACAGAACGTGAGACAGACTGATAGATTGAAACATGGATAGACAGAACGTGAGACAGACTGATAGATTGAAACATGGATAGACAGAACGTGAGACAGACTGATAGATTGAAACATGGATAGACAGAATAACAGACAGACTGATAGATTGAAACATGGATAGACAGAATAACAGACAGACTGATAGATTGGCTTTTTATATGGATAGACAGAGCACGTGAAGTTTTAGAACTGATGGGTGGAAACATGGATAGACAGAGCGTGAGACAGACTGATGGGTGAAACATGCTTGGATGAACCTTAGAGCGTGAGACAGACTGATAGATTGAAACATGGATAGACAGAACGTGAGACAGACTGATGGAATTGAAACATGGATGAACAGAGATAACAGGGCAGACTGATAGGTGAAACATGGATAGACAGAACATGAGACGAACTGATAGATGGAAACATGGATAGACAGAATAACAGACAGACTGATAGATTGAAACATGGATAGAAAGAATGTGAGACAGACTGATAGATTGAAACATGGATAGACAGAACGTGAGACAGACTGAAACATGGATAGACAGAACGTGAGACAGACTGAAACATGGATAGACAGAACGTGAGACAGACTGATAGATTGAAACATGGATAGACAGAATAACAGACAGACTGATGGATTGAAACATGGATAGACAGAACGTGAGACAGACTGATAGATTGAAACATGGATAGACAGAACGTGAGACAGACTGATAGATTGAAACATGGATAGACAGAACGTGAGACAGACTGATAGATTGAAACATGGATAGACAGAACGTGAGACAGACTGATAGATTGAAACATGGATAGACAGAATAACAGACAGACTGATAGATTGAAACATGGATAGACAGAATAACAGACAGACTGATAGATTGAAACATGGATAGACAGAATAACAGACAGACTGATAGATTGAAACATGGATAGACAGAACATGAGACAGACTGATAGATGGAAACATGGATAGACAGAATAACAGACAGACTGATAGATTGAAACATGGATAGAAAGAATGTGAGACAGACTGATAGATTGAAACATGGATAGACAGAACGTGAGACAGACTGATAGATTGAAACATGGATAGACAGAACGTGAGACAGACTGATAGATTGAAACATGGATAGACAGAATAACAGACAGACTGATGGATTGAAACATGGATAGACAGAACGTGAGACAGACTGATAGATTGAAACATGGATAGACAGAACGTGAGACAGACTGATAGATTGAAACATGGATAGACAGAATAACAGACTGATAGATTGAAACATGGATAGACAGAATAACAGACAGACTGATAGATTGAAACATGGATAGACAGAACGTGAGACAGACTGATAGATAAAAACATGGATAGACAGAACGTGAGACAGACTGATAGATTGAAACATGGATAGACAGAACGTGAGACAGACTGATAGATTGAAACATGGATAGACAGAATAACAGACAGACTGATGGATTGAAACATGGATAGACAGAACGTGAGACAGACTGATAGATTGAAACATGGATAGACAGAATAACAGACAGACTGATAGATTGAAACATGGATAGACAGAACGTGAGACAGACTGACAGATTAAAACATGGATAGACAGAACGTGAGACAGACTGATAGATTGAAACATGGATAGACAGAACGTGAGACAGACTGATAGATTGAAACATGGATAGACAGAACGTGAGACAGACTGACAAATTAAAACATGGATAGACAGAATGTGAGACAGACTGACAGATTAAAACATGGATAGACAGAACGTGAGACAGACTGACAGATTAAAACATGGATAGACAGGGGGGCGTGGCCGACCACCGAGCAAGATGGCCGCATAAGGACTTGCTCCGGTACTGAGCTCTTATACATGAGCTATTAAAGGCACAAAACAACACAGAAATAAACAAAATAACGGCGCCAAAGCGATGGCCACCCACAGGACGAAAAAAACGACGGCCAAAACAGACAAAATCAACTTTTTTGGCCACAAAAGCCAAACTCCACAAACGGCCTCACAGCCGGATGCCCAAGATGGCGAGGGAGATTCGGATTCGAGCCTCCCCAGGGCGGATAAAGCACAGTCCGACCAAATTACGAAAAGCTTCCTGGAGCACGCGCTGAACAATCTGTCCACCAAACTGATAGCCTCCTGGCAACAAACGGCAGATGCCATGAGGAAGGAAATGCAGGAACTGGGAACACGCACATCCAAAATTGAGGACAAAATGGGGGACTTCGCTTCTGCCCACAACAACATGGCGGATCATGTCCAACAGTTGGAGGAGAAGGTGGAACGCCTGGAGTCGCAAATGGCAGATGCAGAAGATCGGGCACGGCGGAACAATATCCGGCTTCGAGGAGTACCAGAGTCGGTGCAACCAGTAGACCTTCAGGCCTACGCACGAGGCCTAATGAGAGCTTACGCGCCGGACATACCGACGGACATGATACTAATAGACCGGATACATAGAATCCCCAAGCCGGCTCACCTGCCAGACTCCACACCACGAGACGTGTTGCTGCGGGCCCATTACTTTCATGTCAAAGAGCTGGTCCTCACGGCGAGCCGTAACCGCAACCACCCGCACGAAGACTTCCCCACAGTAAAGATATTCAATGACCTCTCGGCAGCAACGTTGAAAAAACGACGGGCATTCCAACAGGTCGCAGAAGCGTTACGACAACATGGCACCAGATATCGATGGGGCTACCCGACTAAGATGCTGATTCAACGCGGAGGCGCCTTCAAACCCGTCCATTCCCCGGAGGAAGGAGTCCGGCTTCTAAAAGAATGGGGGATACCGCTTGGCCAGTCGGAGCATACTGTACAGCCGATCAAGAAGACAACACAGGAGTGGAGCGTCGTCCGCCAGAGACTTACCTAATGGACATGAAGTCATGGGTCGCAAGTATTGTCAGCACACAACACCACAACTACACTACCCTACATCGCATCACACAACTTATTCACACACACCTGCTACAGATGCCGCTATCTTAAGCGATCTATTCCACGCACGTATATACCACCACACTTCACAAAGCACTACAGCGGATGACCCGCTTTGGGGACCGCAAAGCAGAGTGCCTGTCTGCACATTGTGGACACTTTCCTGAATCTCGACCCAATATGAACTGGCTACGGCCCGACTCATTCCAAGAGTGGTCCGCCACTCAATACTTTCAAGATGGTTATAATTTTTTGTTTCCTTTCTAACATAACCTACCCAAACTTTGCATATGTTATTGGGTTGTCGGGGGTACTGGGGGCTTAGAGATATGTTACACGGAAAACTGCATACACTGATATAGATATGGAAACATGCCCAAGAGGACCCCTTGGCCCCCATGACAGCTCGCTACATGACATGACACCCTGTAGGAGACATTAAAGTAGCCCAGAGTAATCGGGCCCTGGCGAGGCCTGAGGCTATGCAGAGCGCAGGGAAGTTTCAGCACTTAACATAGTCCCCGCCGTGGGGTGCACACTATTACGCGGCCGACGAAGCAGGCTAGCACCGCCCCTATGCACGGCGGAGATCTAGCCGTGCATATCGGCCGTGGGCCGGGCAGAGGCCACGGCGGGTGCCGACAGCACACATGATGACAGTAATTTGCGTGGGCTGAGACGCATGGGAGAAAAAACAAACAAAAAAAAAACGCTAAATTCTTCTACTCAGGGAACAATAGAACCCATATGCTAGGCGCATTTCAGCCTTTTTGACTGACCACAACTCACAGAGCTCAACAGCCACATCACGGGAGAACCCAGGAACTCCCACCCCCGAGGTGTGGACCTACCACACCAACTCCTCCCTGGAGGAAATTTTGCTTACCATATCCAAGTTCGATTGCCCAAGTTACACCCCCTTCCCTACCCCTTTCCACAGAAGAGAGGATTCAATGCTAACCAGCCTACCTATTATAGCACTCACCATCACCCCATACTACAGCTGAAGCAAACCCCAAGGGCACCATGTGCTTTAATTCAGCACCTCACCCTCCAATTATGTCTCTAACGATACGATCCCACAACACAAGAGGGTTGAATCACCCCCATAAACGACGCCTTCTCTTAGAAGAGGCAAATAGGGACAAAATAGATATCTTATGTGCCCAAGAGACTCATTTTGTGACCAATAGAGTTCCTCAGTTTGGGCTACGGAACTACCCAACTCAATTCCACGCAACCCACTCCTCTAAATCCAAAGGGGTGTCTTTTTTGATACACCACACACTGACGTTTGAATTGCTGAGCCTACGCAAAGATGCACAGGGGAGGTATATAGTATTGCACTGTATAATTAACAATACCGAATATGTCCTGGTGGGGATATACAGCCCAAACACAAACCAAACACAATTTTTCAAGAAAGTCATGAACAAACTACCCACCTCCACGACGGGAAACACAATTATATGTGGTGATTTAAATCATGTGCTGAGCTCCCACGCGGATACGTCCCTCCCTAACACCTCCCCGCGACATTCCGCAATGAGGACACAGAGTAAAGCCCTACACCATCTACTAACAGAACACAACCTATATGACACCTGGCGCATGCTCCACCCCATGGAAAAAGGGTTCACCTACTTCTCACAAGTACACAAGTCGTTCTCCAGAATAGATTATGCCCTGGTGTCGGGGCCACTGGCGTCCAGAACTACCCACTGTCAGATTGGAGACATTGTGTGGTCGGACCATGCGCCGCTTACGGTGACTCTAAGCGACTCCTTTCCCCACAGAGGGCGCCCACCCTGGCGCCTCAACGACTCAACTTTGCATGACACCACATTCCGGGCACAACTGACGCGGGATCTGGAACAATACTTCCAGACCAACAACACTCCGGACATATCCCCCGGCACTTTGTGGCAGGCCCACAAGCCGACCATACGAGGGCTGCTGATTAGTAGAGCCGCCCACATCAAACGTAAATCCAATGAAGAATACATGACACTACTTCGGACAATCAGAGATACCACGGCCGCACATGCACTAAACCCAAACGCTGCTCACCTTACCATCATAGACTCCGCTACTAGACGGCTGAATGACATACACCTAGCCAAATCATCCTACACTATGCAACGCTTAAAAATAAGACAATATTCCCAGGGTAACAAAGCAGGGAAAGCCATGGCAGCAATGCTAAGGAAAAAACAATCCCAATCTAAAATTCCTTACCTATACACAGATAGCGGGGCAAAACTGTACAACCCCCAAGACATCAACAACGAGATGGCAAAATTTTACCACACACTGTACAACTTACAACAAGACGCGGCGACTCATCAGCCCACAGATACTGAAATCAAACACTTCCTAGACCTCACACAACTACCCTCATTGACGCATGCACAAGTAGAAAAACTCCAGACTCCAATAACGAATCAAGAGATACTCGACACCATCGCGTCATTGCCGCCTGGTAAATCCCCAGGCCCAGACGGTCTAACAAATTGTTACTATAAAACCTTTGCTACCATACTGGCCCCGCACATGACAGTATTATACAACCACATAACTACCACGGGTAAAATGCCGAGGGAGATGCTAATGGCGCATGTAGCCACTCTCCCCAAACCAGGGAAACCACCAAATAGATGCCAGAACCTGCGCCTAATCTCGCTCCTCAACACGGACACAAAAATATTAGCCAAAATTTATGCCAACAGGCTGTCAACAATAATCCCTACCCTGGTGCACGCGGACCAGGTGGGGTTTGTGAGTGGCCGCCAGGGGGCGGATGGAGTGAGGAAAGTGTTGGACCTGCTGGGTGGACTGCGGGGAGGGGGAGCACCGAGCGTGTTGGTGTCGTTGGATGCTGAAAAAGCGTTCGACCGCCTTCACTGGCCCTTCCTCCGCGCGGTCCTAGGGAGATTTGGATTCCCCCCACGGTTCCAGGCATTGGTGGAAGCGTTATACTCCAACCCGTCGGCACAAGTAGCGAATGGGGGCTTCTCATCCAGTAATTTCAACATCACAAATGGCACCAGGCAGGGCTGCCCTTTATCCCCGATACTGTACATACTTGCCCTGGAGCCACTTGCACACATGATTAGGACGAACCCCACGATTCAGGGAATTAAGGTAAAAAACGATGAATATAAAATCGCGCTATTCGCGGATGACATCCTTCTCACACTACAAAACCCAAGCTCCTCCCTGACAGCGCTACAACAGCTGATACACCAATATGGGAAATGCTCGTACTATAAATTGAATGTCTCCAAAACACAAGCATTAGGCATCAATCTATCGCAGCCCGAGCTGAGCCACCTTAAAACGAACTTTGCATTTGAATGGCGCGTAGACAAAATAACATTTCTAGGAATAGCTTTGACCAAAACGTTGGCGGGTATCCACAAAGCAAATTACATACCACTTCTCACGGAGCTCAAATCCCTCGTACACAGTTGGAAAGGGAAGTTTATATCGTGGGTAGGCAGGATAGCTGCAGTGAAAATGCTGCTCCTTCCAAGAATACAATACCTATTCAGGTCCATCCCGCTTGCAATCCCCAGGCGTTACCTGAGTGAAATACAGACTCTAATATCCTCGTTCATCTGGAACAACACCAAACCTAGAATAGCAGCAGCCACACTACATAAACCCCTTCAGAAAGGGGGTATGGGCCTGCCAAACATAGCTCACTACTATAAAGCGGCCATGATAAGCCCGATCTTGGCAGTTACGGGTAACCCTAGCCCCCCACAGTGGGTACGAATAGAAGCATGTTACACAAATAACTTCACAATCCCCGCTCTGGCTTGGATGTCCAGGAAACTAAGGCCTAAACACAAAGACAGTCTCCCCACCACTAGGCTAACACTACAAATCTGGGATCACTTTGGTAAAACACACATAATGAAAGGGGGCACCTCTCTAGCAACGCCACTGGAGACACTGAGCTTGATCATACCGGGATTCCAACTCCGCATGTGGCACGACCATGACATTAAACATCTATACCACATATGTCAGGGCCCAACTTTGAACACATTCACTGAGATCCAAAAACAATATGGGCTTCCAGACACAGCTCACTTCTCATATAGGCAATTAGCGTCATGGCTCAGGACGCAAACGATCGGTTCTTATCATCCGGAGGCTGGGCTACAAATGACAGAACTAGAATTAATATGCCTCAACCTAAAACCAAAGAAAAAACTTATCTCATTAATTTACGCCATATACAATTCCACAAAAGGCCCACATACCTTCACCTTCACAAAAGCGTGGGACCGTGATCTGACAACTCACTTATCTGAGATCCAATGGGCCAAAATATTTAAGGGACACAGGAACCTCTCACTGTGTGCCTCCCACACAGAGATCACGCGTAAAATACTATATAGGTGGTACATGGTCCCCACAAGGCTCCACAAAGGGAACCCAAACATATCGGACACGTGCTGGCGCTGTACAGACGGCAAAGGGTCCATGATACACATTTGGTGGACATGCCTAAAACTGAAACCATACTGGGACGATATAATACAACTAATCCAAGACAGCACAGGTGTCCACCTATCACAGAACCCTGAAGTCTATCTGTTGCAACTACTTCCCAAAAATCTCACGAAACCCCAAGTATACCTCATCTACCACATCATTGTAGCAGCACTACAGGCGATAAGCAGATTATGGCGAAATCCAGTTCCACCACACCTGTCCCAATGTATCAGAGCACTACAGATGACGAGACAATACGAACTAATGGCACGTAAAAATACACCACCTAAACAATTTATAGCGGTAGCCTGGGACATGTGGGAAACGTACTTGACGGGGCCAACAAAAGGGGGAACCTCCGAATCACCGCAACATGACACCACTTAAACAGGACACCACTTCAACATACAAAATTGAGAGGCACAGACTGCCTCCATAGCGACACCCAACCCCCCTCCTACCATATTGACCAATACTGTCCAATCCCGACATGGGCGACACATAGTGGGACTCGAACCACACTGGGTTAGGCACAACTCCAACGCCATCTGCTCTTAACTGAGCATGCTGACCTCCTCTCCCCTCCTCCTCCGATCCCTTCCTCTCTAACCCCCCCTTATGTTAATGTTGCATTGTTCGTTGTATTATAATGGAACCAAACGTATCAACTGGTAGCAATCTTATGACATATGTACTACTGGATATATGTATGTAAATTCTATCCACTGTTACAATCTCCTACTGTACAAGATGATTTTTGGTATGTTGATACTACAAAATGCAAATAAAAAAACAAAAAACAAAAAAAAAACATGGATAGACAGAACGTGAGACAGACTGACAGATTGAAACATGGATAGACAGAACGTGAGACAGACTGACAGATTGAAACACGGATAGACAGATCGTGAGACAGACTCATAGATAAAAACATGGATAGACAGAACGTGAGACAGACTGATAGATTAAAACATGGATAGACAGAACGTGAGACAGACTGATAGATTGAAACATGGATAGACAGAACGTGAGACAGACTGATAGATTGAAACATGGATAGACAGAATAACAGACAGACTGATAGATTGAAACATGGATAGACAGAACATGAGACAGACTGATAGATGGAAACATGGATAGACAGAATAACAGACAGACTGATAGATTGAAACATGGATAGACAGAACGTGAGACAGACTGATAGATTGAAACATTTATAGACAGATCGTGAGACAGACTGATAGATAAAAACATGGATAGACAGAATGTGATACAGACTGATAGATTAAAACATGGATAGACAAAACGTGAGACAGACTGATAGATTGAAACATGGATAGACAGAACGAGAGACAGACTGATAGATTGAAACATGGATAGACAGAATAACAGACAGACTGATAGATTGAAACATGGATAGACAGAACATGAGACAGACTGATAGATGGAAACATGGATAGACAGAATAACAGACAGACTGATAGATTGAAACATGGATAGAAAGAATGTGAGACAGACTGATAGATTGAAACATGGATAGACAGAACGTGAGACAGACTGAAACATGGATAGACAGAACGTGAGACAGACTGAAACATGGATAGACAGAACGTGAGACAGACTGATAGATTGAAACATGGATAGACAGAATAACAGACAGACTGATGGATTGAAACATGGATAGACAGAACGTGAGACAGACTGATAGATTGAAACATGGATAGACAGAACGTGAGACAGACTGATAGATTGAAACATGGATAGACAGAATAACAGACTGATAGATTGAAACATGGATAGACAGAATAACAGACAGACTGATAGATTGAAACATGGATAGACAGAACGTGAGACAGACTGATAGATAAAAACATGGATAGACAGAACGTGAGACAGACTGATAGATTGAAACATGGATAGACAGAACGTGAGACAGACTGATAGATTGAAACATGGATAGACAGAATAACAGACAGACTGATAGATTGAAACATGGATAGACAGAACATGAGACAGACTGATAGATGGAAACATGGATAGACAGAATAACAGACAGACTGATAGATTGAAACATGGATAGACAGAACGTGAGACAGACTGATAGATTGAAACATGGACAGACAGAACGTGAGACAGACTGATAGATTGAAACATGGATAGACAGAATAACAGACAGACTGAT